CGATGCTGGGTGACACTGCACGGGGTCTCAGGAGGCTTTCGGCTGCCCCAAATCTGGCTTTCCATGAGGGTCCCATCATCCCAGCAGAAGCCTGACCGCAGCCAGAGCCCTGCCGGCAGCTCCTCTGCCGCCTCCCCATCCACGCAGGTCCCGGTGCGGCACACCCGCACCCCACCTCCATGACGATATCCCCCAGGAGGAGGTCCCCAGCCTGGAGAAAAGGGCTGCAGAAGAAGGCGAAGCCATCGCCGCTTTCGCAATCCTGCCGTGGTGTGAAATATTTGCGTCATCTGGTTGTAACCTCCAGCCATCTGGTCTGGGGATGCCTTTCTCGGAGGAGCAAGGGGCTCCTCCACGGTCGGTGCTCTCTGTTATTTACAGGGTGCAAACCCACCCTTGTTTCTCCCTGGGAGACAGCAGCTTCCATGGCCCTTCCCGACTCCCTCATTAGGTTTTCAGAGCCGAGGTCTTGGACAGGTTCGTGCTTGCCGGACTCGGCCCCTTTCATGTTGCCCTTTGGAGAAGCAGAGATAGGAGGGCGTTAGCTTGGTGGGGAGGGTCACAGCGAGATTCCTCCAACATAAAACAATGGTATAGACATTTTTTGATTGAAATAATTCTGTTTTCTACTAAGTCTCATTGTAAAGCTTGATTTAAATGTCGAGCTTCAGCAGGCTGTAAAGGCTGGACACAGCACAGAGCGCTTGGAGGAGGACCCCATCCCACCCAAAAACTGCCGAGCACCTTCACTTACGCCTGCTTTGGGAAGCCAACACAGGAGATGGCTTTCAAGTCATCCAAGAGGTTTCTTTCCGTGTCTCGCCACCCACTCTGCTCACCAGATGATGGAAGGCACGATGTCCCTCCGCAGGGATTAGCATCGCACATGCCCCCAGCACCCGTGCGGAGCCGGCAGCGGGGCAGGAGGAGCCGGCCGGGGTGTACGTGCACCGCGACTGCCAGCACTGCCACCTCATTCCCCGGCTGGACACGCTGCGAAACCCTTCTCCATCCCCTCCTTCCCAGGGCTGGGCAAGCAATGGGGGTTTTAAATCAAGCGAGGCTGCGAAACTGGGAGCTTCACTCCAGTCCTCCCCTTTCGGGAGTGGGCTCTTAGTGCCCACCCTGCCCAGGGCTGTGCCCTACGTGGCTGAGCCATGCTCTTTAGCAGCAGATGGAGCTGCTGGGGGAGCAGGGGCCTGTAAATCATCTGCCCTTCCAGGCTCATAAACCCCCCAAATGATCCTGGCAGGCACCTGGGAATCTCTCGGCTTTTCCCTCTTGCTGCAGCTCCCGGCACTCCGACCCATCTGATGGAGCTCTGGGAGCACAGCGCTGCGCCTCCAGCCCTCCTGCCAAAATCCCTGTCCTGGTGAGACCCATGTCTCACCATGCCGGCACGGCAGCTCGGACCTCGGCAGGACCCGGCCCTCACGGCCCCTGGGGAGGTCCAGGGCTCAGTGTCAATGCCGGTGCGGGTGGCCCTGCGTGGCTGTGGGGTGACAGGGCAGGACCACAGCCACCCCACTGCTCTGGGAGGCACCTGGGGGGGAGGATCCGGCGCCTGTCCTGTGCAGCCATGCTGGGGACCGGAAGGGGGACCACAGGCCACCTGCAGCCACCCAGCCCATGCCTGGCCAGACAATCCATGCATCCCACTTCTGACATCCCACCCTGCCTGCATCCCTCCCTGCTGGCATCCCTCCCTGCCAGCAACCTGCCCTGCCAGCATCTCTCCCTGCCGGGATCCCTCCCTGCCAGCAACCTGCCCTGCTGGGATCCCTCCTTGCCTGCATCCCTCCCTGCCAGCAACCTGCCCTGCCTGCATCCCTCCCTGCCAGCCCGGCAGGCTGCGGCACGACCAGCGTTGCCTGGCCCCGTGCGAACAGCAGCCCGGGCACTGCTCGGCTCCACGTCCCTCCTGCAGCTGTCTGCAGCGGGGATTCGCCGGCACATCCCCAAGCAGCCAGGGAGGATGTGGGAGGTGTTGGGGCATGGGCATGGACATGGGATGCGTCAGGACGTGGATACGTGACATGTCAAGGCACGGCTGCAGGATGAATCCGGGGGCAGAGCAGCACCCGGGGCTGAACCCGACCCCACAGCAGCTCATGGCGAGCACCACCATGGCCCTGCTCTCCCCTCCTGCCTGCGGGCTGGGGCTGTGGAGGGCCTGGAGAAGCCTCGGGCTCAGCTCTGAGACCCCCAGGACCCCCAGGAGGCTGCTGCCTCCCACCCGCTTCCCCACACAGCCCCCTGGGGGGCTCAGAGCCCGGCAGGGGCTGCCTTGGGCTCTCCAGGGAGCATTTGTGGGATGAGGCCATAGCAGAGATGGCCCCGGGCAGCCCCCAGCTGGGGAGGGGGAGCAGCCTGGGGGCACGGTGGGGTTTGAGCCCCAAGCGGGGGGATGCTGGCCAGGGCTCCTGCTGCCCCCAGGGCCCTGCCAGCCACAGCCGCCCAGCCCCCGGCCCTTGCCTAGCACGGATTTGCCAAGTTTGCACATTTTCGGCAGATGCAGAAGTGACAAAACATCATCAGTGCCAAGGCGGGCCACAGGCGAGGGGGACGGAGCCTTCCTCCCCCACGGCTCTCCTGCAGCCATGGAAGGGCAGAGCCCTCCTCATCCTCCCAGGCACCCTGGGGCCATTGCATAGGGCTGAGCTGTGCTCCTGGCCCCATTAATTAAGAAGCAATTAACTGAGGGCCAAGCTGGGGAGCAGCTGGTCCCACCTGGGGCGGGTTGCACGTCACCTGGGGCTGGATGGGGACAACAGGCACAGCCCCACGGCTCCATCACGGGTTCAGGGACACTGGGAAGCAAACCCTGGGGTAACGGCATAGCGTGCATGGCCTGGATTTGCTCCAGCATGGCCAAAAATTAAAAGCCTCCTTGTCCAGGCAGGCAGCCCCAGGGGTGCAGGCAGGCAGCTCCAGGGGTGCAGGCAGGCAGGCAGGCAGCCCATGGCTTTCCCCTCACAGCCCCCTCTCCTCCGTCCGGCGGCTCCTGCAGCACCGCACATCGTTTGTCACTCCGACAGGTTCAAACAAACCCGGCTGGGATTAATTAGGCTCCGTCTTCGTTTCCTCCAGCGCTTCGCGGGGGCTGGGCTGCAGAAAGTGGTGGGGAGGCAGCAGACGGACGGGCAGGCTCCGGCAGGCAGGGACTGGATAATGGGAAGGCAAGTGGGGATCCCCCCGGCCCCCCCAAATCCCTGCCCCAGCGCTAACACAGTCGGTGCTGGATGCTGTCCCAGCTGGCTGTGGGCCCCATCCCGGGAACAGGAGGCCACGGGCGGCTGTGCAGCGTGGCCGGATCCAGGACTAGATGGCTGCTGCCACCTCGTGCATGGAGGGCTGCTCCCACGTACACCCCCTTCCTCCCCAAATCCCCAAAAAAGATGGACCCCAAAATCCCCAGAGGCAGATGGGACCCCCCAAGGGAGGGCTGGATCCTGTCAGCGAGGAGAGAAACAGTCAACCACCAGCAAGTAAAACCAGAGCCCCCCGATTTATTAGCAGTTGGTTCAACCTTACACCAGCGCCCGGGAGCCTCTCCCAACGCAACCCCGCGGAGGGGCAGAGGGGAGGTGCAGCCCCCGCACGGCTACAGGGGCTCCTGCAGAAACAACCCGTGTTCCCCCCCCCTGCCCCGGCCCCGCTCCGGAGGTGAGGGCGGCATCCCGGGTACCGCGTCCACCTCCGGCGGCAACCGCTGCCATCCCGCATCCTGCAGAGCAGCTCCATCCAGGGGGAAATTTGGGCCCTTATCCCAGTAAACCCGTGACAGCTCAGTCTCGTTTGCCAGCCCCGGCAGCAAAACCCAGGGGACAGGACGGGGCGCGGGAGAGGCAGAGCCGGGGCTGCGGCTCGGTACGGCACCGCCGGCATAAAGACACATCTGCGGCAGGGAAACCGTCCCCCGTTTCCCCACTGACCTTCGTCCACATCACATGTAACAACCAAAGAGACCAGGTAAAACCCTCGGGGTTTAGGTACAAATTCTGGCACCAAAGAAAAACAACCCCCTGCAAAATGGGAACGAAACGAACCCTCCCCACCCCCCTGCCCCCCAACATTATTAAAATACTTTTGCTTTTAATATTCAAGAGGTTTGAAGTTCTCAGCATCTTTCTGATTGCCGTTATCCCAACGTCCGCCCTGTCCCTGAGGGCCGGCTCTCCTCTGTGCCAGGGGACAGTGGGCGCTGCTCGGCTTTACCACAGGAAACACCACGCATGTACAAGATCGCAAGGGGGGACTTGGCGGGGCCGGCAGCGTGCCAGGAGCATGCCAGGGCCGGCACACCGGGACCGGCACACCGGGACCGGCACACCGGCCCCTTCTGCTCAGCCGCAGTCCCACCGCACTGCCCACAGAAGGGGAGGAAGAGGTTGAGGAGCTTGAAAACGAATGGAGATGACAAAAGAAATCGTGCCCAAATCTTTGAAAGAAAAATCCACCTTGTTGGCAGTTTTTCCAAGTAGGTGTTGGGGAAATCCGGCAAACTCTCCTGCTTCCTGCCGCGGGGCCGGCGGCAGGAGTGGGTCTGGGTCCCTCTGTGCTTTAGGTCTCTTCCAGCTCCGTTCCTCTGCTCCAGCTCAGCAAAGTCACCTCCAGCGTGCCCAGAGCGGCTCTTCCACCCCCGGACCAGGAGGTGAGGGATGGCTCTGCTGCTGCCCTCAGGCCCAGGGGAGTCAGGGCCCGTTTTGGGCAGAGAAAGGGGGAATTTGTGCCACTTCCCATGTCAGAGTAGGGTGGGAAGGGACCTCACCAACAGGCCCAGGAATTAAAAAGGAAAAATAAAGAGGAACAGGTGTGGGGTAGGCAGAGAAGTGGCAGCACGGGGACCACAGTCAGGCCGCCACTCGGGCAGCCTCCGGCGCAGCCATCCGCTCCTGGGGGTCCCCTCCAAGGCGGCAGCCAGGTATTGCTGAGGAAGGTCCCGCCGGGTGCAGGGGTCGGCCCCGCTCGGGTATTGCTGGGCGGGCAGCGGGCGGCAGCTACCTGGTGCTCTGCAGCTCCTCCCGCAGCCAGGTGGGCAGCGTCTGCCCCATTTTGTACAGGAGCTTGGAGAGCTCTATGTTATGGTCCCTGTAATAGTCCCGCAGGAAGGCGCGCGACTGCAACGGGAGAACAGAGAGGAGGGTCAGAGGGACCAGCCCCGAGCCCCCCGGCCCCGCTTGGGACCATCCCAGGAGGCTTTCCGCATACTCACATCCGAATCCATCTCGGGGTACTTCCTCCCTTTGCTCTTTCCCAAGCATTTTGTTTTCCCTCCATCCAGAAGCTGACACCAGAATCCTTTCTTTGGATCAAACCTGCGAAGCCACAGTTCTGCCTCACCCCTCTCGCTCCCCCACGCCTGCTGCAAGCAAGCTCACTGCCCGACAAACCCCGCTGCTGCCCATCCCTGCATGGGGGCACTTCTCCACCTCTTCTTAATCCGCAGCCCAGCTAACATCTCATTATCGACCCCCTGGTACAACAGGTTCCCCGAAGAGCTGCACAGCAAGCGGCCCGACAAGGTTCATTCATCACCGCATCACCCTGTGGTGAGGGAGCACGGGGGTCTACGTGGGTTTAATTATTATTTTCTGCGGCACCTTTGGCCCTGGATGCTCTCAGGAGCCCCACGACACCTGGGTGCAGTCTCAGAGTGGCCATGGATACACACAAGCCCAGCGCAGAGGTAAATTATTGTTTTTCTAGGAGCTCTGGAAGCTCCTGCTTCCCACAGTGGGCTTTAATGTCTGGAAGGCTGCGAACAAGGTGGCATCCACAGAGGTGCCACACAGCCAGCAGCAAGAGCTGCTCTCTGCAGTGTGTGCACAAGGAGCCAGGGTGCTGGGGCTCAAGACTATCAGAAGTGGCATGAATGCAGCCCTGAACTCCGCTCTGGGAGCCCAGAGCTGCTCCTGGGCTGCCTGGGGTGACACCACCCTCCCTGCCACGCTGCCTGGATAAGTGCAGCAAAGCAGGGTGCTTGTGGAACGTTACTTCTGACTGCAGCTACCCCAGTGTAGGTCACAGCTTGCTGTGCAAGCTCAGGTGAGGAGCCTCAGGTGAAACCCTGATCTCATCAACCCCAGCAGCAGCTCTGCAGTGAGCCCAGGGCTGGGGGCTGCCCTGGGACAGCGCCGGGTGTCCCCAGGGGCAACAGCAGGTTGGAGGAAGGAGAAACCTGGGGAAGGACTCACGCCAGGGTCTTGTGGTAATCGATGAAGTTGGTCACACCAAGGAATTTCTGGACTGTCTCCATCACTTTGGCGGGTTCTGTTCGCAGCAGCTTGCCGTCCAGGACCAGGATCTGCAAGGAGCAAGGCAGGGCAGTGAGGTGCCGCTGGCTCCCAGGCCTGCTCTCCTGGGGCACACCACCTTCGCCACACTTTTTTCCATCTTGGAGCCAAATTTGCCACCAGCCCGCGCAGGGTCCCCTTTCGAATGCTAACGTGCCCCAGTGTTCACTTACACTGGCTGCTGGAAAATTAAATTCAAATAAAAGCCTGAGCCAGGATCCATCCAGGACAACATCAGAGCTTTGGCTCAGGGCTGCCCAACCCACAGCCAGCCAGGATAGCATTACAGCAATTACGCCAGAAGCAGACAACTAATACACTTTATAAGGTTAAATGACGATGGAAAAATCATTCAGGGACTGAGCCTGGACACTGCCAGCAGCACTCCACTGCGCGGGTCACAGCAGGGCTGGCATCCAGCCCCCATCTCCCTTGCAGGCAGCTCGAACCATGGGCAGCTTTGCCCGCTATTTTTGTCCTGCTTCAATGCTGCGGTGACACCAGACAGGGCAGCCCCGCGGGGGTCTGTGGCCGAGAGTGGCGGGTGAGCAGTGGGTGCCCCTGCAGAGCCACCCACGGTCCTCCACCCCACGGCTCCCTTTCAACCCTGCTTTGCCAGAGGACCAGCAGAAGGACCTACCTACCCAAGACCAGCACAAGGGCATCTTTGTGCATCATCCACCACCAACGTCACACTACAAAGGTTTCCTTCTTGCAAAATATCTCCCCTCTCCACCTTCCCCAACTACTTTTACTCTTCTCCCCATGGTCATTAAGGTGTAAGAAAAGCAGCTCCCATGGGAGCACCCTCACAGCTGACTTGGGACCCAAGGTCTCTTCCCCATGCATCCTTGCTTGGGTGAGGGGGGCTCCCCAGGGTGCTCCCATCCCTACCTGGTTGGCGTGGTAGCTGTTCAGCCAGCGCTCGATGTGGGTGGCGTACCAGCCCGGCACCAGGCAGCGGTTCTGCAGGGTCCGGAGCTTTGCAGCAGCCTCGGGTCCTGCCGTGATCACCTCGTGGAAGGTGTATTTCAGGGCAACTGGGTCATCGTGAGCTCGCTGGTGCTGTCAGGCATGAACAAGGCAGGTTTGTTCCTGGGGCAACCCAAATCCTGGGCTGCCCACCAGGCACCGTGGCTCTCAGGCCACCACATCATGTCCTCGCATGTCCTCTTCAGCCACAAATTGCAGTGCCCACAGCCACCCCGCCTCCCAAACCGCGATGACGGAGGGAAGCCCCTGGCCCACCACCCCACGGGGCTGCCCAAGCCAGGGGAGAGGCAGAGGTGGGCAGCTCACCTGATACCAGGAGTAGGCTCGATCTGCAGGGTTGATGAGGATGGTGATGACTTTGGCCTTGGAGAGCAGGGCCGCAGCTCGCCGGGGAGCCACTTCTGAGTCAAAGTAGTTGGCACTTTTCTCGAAGTAGAAGTCGGAGGTGGTGTTGGAGGGGATGGGGAAAAACTCCATGTACCTGGGGGAGGCACAGCGTGAGGCAGGTGGATGGGGACCATGAGATGTCCCCAGAAACCCCCTCGCAGGTGACATCTCAGACACTCTGTACCACGCACTAACCCTGCAGGGTCCCTCCAGGTCTGATGCACAGCCTAGGGCTCCACAATCCCCTCCAGCCTTTTTGGAGGGCCAGGCCTCACCAGATTCCCCAGGCAGACCCCAAAACCGGGAGGCAGCAGATGCACACGCACGCACCCAGCTCCTGCCGAGGGCACTTCTGAGTCCTGGCAAGTGGCCTTTGCCTTCAGGACAACACCTCAGGGATAAACCATGGCGGTGTGATGGCCTGAAGGCAGTGCATGAGCATCCCCTTGCAAAGGGCAGAGCCCGTGCAGGATTCATCCCACCTTGCAGCACTCAGGTACCCTCTGCCAAGAGCCCGGTGGCTGCAAGATCGATGGGAAACCCCGCGGCACCACTGCTCCTGTTCCCGAAGGAACCGGCACTCCCAGCTCAGCCCCTGCAATGGGGAGACCTACCAGTCGATGCCCTTGTGATAGTTGTGTCCGTTGAAGAATTGTATCTCCTCGAAGGTCTCTGAGCTGGGGTAGTTGCTGCTCAGGTCCGGGTGCATCCCCAAGAAGAGATAAAGGGCGGTCGTTCCTTCGGACAGACAGAAAGAGAGACCTGACTTGGGCCAAACCTCCCTCCGAGCTCTGCTTCAGGGCAGGAGGGCTGAGAGAGGCTCTCTGGGGGTGCGCGGGGGACCCCGCAAGCCCCCCAGCACTCTCACGGCACCAAGGGTGAAGGGAAGCACCTGTTTTTTGAGGCCCAATGATGAGAAGCTTTGGGAATCGGTCACAAGTCTTTTCTTTGGACCAAATGTCTTTGTGACGCTTGTCTTCACAGGGATCCTGAAATGCAGGGGGGCAGGAGGATTAGAGACAGGGCAGCCTCGACAGGACCACACACCACTGCTCAGCCCCCTCCAGCCCAAGAAGACACACGGGGAGGCCACGCTGCTCAGCAAGGCAGGGCAAAGACTGGGGTTATTTCCAGCTCTACCGGATAAACTCCTTCCTGGCACCGCCCGCAGAACCACAAAGAGGCAAAACACCTCCTATTCCTCCTGTTCCAGGCACAAGGGGTACCTGCCACAGCGGGTCCTTCTCCTCGGAGAAGATCTGGAAGTACTTCTGTGCCAGCTGCACGGGCGGCAGCGTCTGCAGCTTCAAGTTGGTCCAGGAGTTGAGGAAGCGGACCAGGTGCTTGAAGGTGTACAAACCCAGGCGGTCGTTGCCATAATTGGACAGATGGGTCATGAAGATGCTGATCTGAAGCAGGGAGGACGGAGCAGGGGTTAGCAGAGCCTCACCCAGCAGCCACCCCATGGAAACAGCTCCCACCCTGGCTGAGGACACTGGGGACATTGCCCACAGTGGCACTGGGGGATGGCTCTGCAAGAGACCCCTGTCCGTCTGTCCCTGGGCCAGACGGCAGTACTCACGGGGTTGAGGAGCACAGTCAGGAACAGTTCACCCCCGTTGATGATTTTGTCCAGCTCACTGGAGCCACCAGGGTACTCGTTGTAGAAGATGGTGTGTGTGAAGAGGCCACAGGTTTGCCGGGGGAGTACCTGGAGCAGGAGAAAGACATGGATGGAGCATCCAGGGCTGCGCCCTCTTACTCCTCCCAAATGAAAAGGGGGTCCTCAACCCCTCAGAGGTCAGGATTGGCTCCACTGCCCCTCACCACCTTTGACTTGAATCCTGATGCCCACAAGGGTTGGAGGTGGACAGATGGAGAAGCCAAAAATTGTCCTCACACGAGCTTCCCCCATGCAGGACGAGCAGAGGGCATAGCCCCCTCAAATCAAAGCATCCGAGCTGCCCAGAAACCATCTGCTGAGGTTCTGGGTTTTGGTGGGGGAGGCAGAGGAGAGAAGCACCAGAGATAAAGCCTGGCCACCTACCATGATGCCATTGTGGATGAAGCCACGGCGATAGCGAGCAGGTTTCAGGTGAGGGTACTCCTCTGTGCTCGTCACTTTGATTGACCAAACCTGCTTCCAAGCTTCATACAATTGCACGTGGACGGGGTACACGCCTGAGTGGTGGGGGGCCACGGCGTAACCCATGTCAGTGGGGATGCCATGCTCCTGCAGAGAAGAGAGCAGGGAGTGGGTGACCCCAGAGACCCCAAAAGCACAACGTCCCAAACCAATCTCTCCCCAAGGGACTGCCCATTCCCAACTACAAATAGTCAGCTCATGCCTCTGGAGAGCAACCAGGGCAGGGCTGCGCCTGCACATCCTCTCCTAACCAGGGCTGTCTCCATGGAAGGGAGCCCAGCAGCAGACATGCTGGGTGGACACTCGCTCCTCTGCTTCATGTGGAGCATCCTTACCCCTGCCATTTCTGCTGTCACCAACAAAACAACAGCAGCAAAGCTTTTCTGTGGAGAATGAGGAGATACATCTACACAGGACGGTAAATTGGTTTATATCAGTACATATAAAACAGGCTGGAAATTCTGAGCTGGACAACTGCCCATCCCAAGTAGGGATGGTCCGGTCTCTCTCTAACTAATCACCTCTAATTATCAGACAGTGAATTCAAGTTAGCCTGAAGATCCCTCTCTTAGGCCATAGAACCAAATTATTATTACTGGGTCTGGCTTTACTGGGTTTGGATTCAAGACAGCTGTGAGCAAACCAGTCAATCACAGCATGATCTGGTCTCAACGCTGGCTTTATCCAGGGCAGATAAAGGACGGTCCAAGAGGATGGACAATCCCATACCAAGCTGAAGGTCAGAGCCTGCCTTTATAAACCGAACATGTCCCCGACAGCTCAGCCTGCAGAGGGAGTTTCCATCAGCAGGAGCCTCCCGGCACATGGCCACTGCTCCAGGATCCTGCATCATTGCCCAGCACAGCACTGAATCGCGCCGGGCTGTGCACCCAACCCTAGGCTCAGTTAAACCCTAGCACACACCAACCCAAGCAGACGCTTCCTCCTGCAGAGCCATGGGTCAGACCTCCGCATCCCCCACGGGTTGGACCCGCGCAGGAACAGCTGCAACGCACGGATGCTGTCTCCCTTTGCACGGGCAACCCAAGCAGCTCGCTGCCTCTTTGCTCCCCTTCTCCCATCCTCCCCCCACCACAAGCACTCCCACCGGCGGCATCTTACTCACGACAGCGAATTTCTTGTTTAATGTCATCTGCTCGGCGAGAACCGACTGGTTGTGGAAGAGGTGAGGCTGCATGTGGCTCCACATGTGGGGGAACCACCAGAACTCCTTCACATAGGATAGCAGCAGGTCGTCACCTTCGTCCTCGGCATCGGTACCTGTGGGCATGATGCTCGCCGTCACCACCAGGCACATGGAGCCACGCGAGCAGCCGGGGCAGAGGGAGGGGAAGCCCCTCTCAGTGACCAGGTGATGGGGGGCAGCAGGGTGGGATGCCCGAGGACCCTCCTGCAGCCCCAACTTCAGCCTCTTTGAGCACCAGTTTGTGCCTCAACACCAGCTGTATGGCACCAACAGGCAAAGCAACGCCCTTGCCCTCCTCACCCGTGTGGAAGAATTTCCCTGAGTATCCCAGGTTGAAGGTGAAGTTCGGGATGTGGGTGCGCAGCTCGTTCTGTGTGTCGAATAGCGCCTGGGAGGGGGGGAGAGAAAGCAAGATGTCCTCAGCATGCAGCTGTGGGGATGGCTGCCATGCCAGGGCGAGGATCTGTGTCCCCGAGAGCTTTGCAGAGGGGCTCCCATGGGGCCAGGGGATGCTCTGGGGGCAGGAAAGCTCATCTCTGCAGCATCCCAGAGCAGGCACAAGCACCCAGCCCTACGCATCCCCTGCCCACCCAGCCAGGACATCACAGCTGCACCTTGACATCTTCCACCTTCATGCGCGTGCCCTCCTTGCCCACAAAGATGTCGTCAATGTCCACCAGGATGTAGCGGTCGAGTGGCAGGGAAAGCCTCTTGCCCGTCAGGAAGGAGACAGAGTCCACGAAGACGAGCTTGTGCAGCCAGAAGTTGAGGTTGTTGCCAAAAAGCACCCTCTGGATGCCGTCGTGGAGGCCCAGGTCCTGCATCACAGTGGTGTGCAGCGCCGCGTCCACGCTCATGTGCGGGATGGACTCAGCTGACTTGGTCTTGGCCAGGAGGACCGGCTCATAGGTGGAGTGGTTGGACTGGAAGACGGTCCAGTCCTCCCCGGGGAGCACGCCCTTCTCCACCTCGCTGGGGCGTGTGATGTACAGCAGGGGCGACTTGGGGTTGATGCTGCAGTCCTTCAGCGCCAGGTTGGAGTGGAGGAAGAGGGGGAAGCCCTTCAGCTGGGCGCTCAGCAGGCTGTTCTCGTTGGCCTGCATGGGGAGAGATGGGAGCTGGAGGAGACAGGACGCCAGGGACAGAGGCGTTGGAAGACACGCCAAGCGCCCAGCCTGGTTGCTGGGGCTCACCAGGGGCACCAATGGCCGTGGCGAGGGGTTAGGTGGCTCACCACCCCCAGAGATGCAGGTGCTGCGCCCCCTGCTTCCTCTCCTGAGCATCCCTTCTGTCCCCCTTGCTCACATTCAACATGCAAAGCCCCCTGGGGCTGTGAGCCCTGGGCAGGAGAAGGGCAGGGGGCTGCCGAGCAAAATACCTGCTCATGCTTTTGGTGAACCCCAGCAAGGGTGACTGCTGGGAAACGGGATGCTAAAAGCAACCGGACTGATCCCAGAGGTGTGTTTTTGCCCCCAAAACACCCAGGAGCCGCACAGCCCTTCCACAGGGAGAGCGCTAAGATGGTGCCCTCTGCAAGAAGCCTGCACCCCATGCCAGGCTGCAGGCCGGCTCCACACCAACAGAAAGCAACGGGAGGGTGCAGTCCCTGCAGGGCACTGGGACCCCAGGGCTCACACCCGGCCTGGCCACGGGGTCTCGGTTCACCCCACAGACCCCCTTACCTTGAAGAAGCCAATGATGCCCACGCCGTACTCCACGCAGTACTTGTCGAGCAGCTCCCGGTTCCAGGCATCCAGGTTGACGTACTTGAGGATGTTCTCGTAGATGATGAGAGCAAAGCGTCCCCGGTCCTTGTCGGTCAGCGTGGGCATGTCCCCCTTCCCTGGGGCGATCTCCGTCCTGTATTTGAAGCGACTTGACTCCAAAATGGCCACGATCTCCTGGCCCAGCTGGGAGTAGAGGCTCTCCACGAAGACCAGCACCAAGGGGTCCGTGCGGGAGGAGTCGGCCACCTTGAGGGTCTTCAGTGGCAGCAAGCGGGAAGGGGCGACCTTGGGCTCGTCGCAGTCTGGCCCCGCCACATCCCCAGAGGGCTCCAAGCTCCTTTTCCACCCATATAAATAATACGCAGAGACGAAAACACTGAACAGGCAGAAGGCGAAGAGCACAAGCAACACCACCTGCGGAGAGAGCTGCCGGGTACCCCGCCGGGCCCTGGCCAGCACAGTCATCCTTGCATCCGCAGGGTGAGGTGGGGCCCCTCTCCCCTGCCCGCCCCCTCCCCTCGCAAGCCCCGGGGAGGGGAAGAAGCAACCAACCAACTGAAAAAAACAGGTAAAATAAAATTGAATACTACTAATAAATTAAAATACTAGCAAGCCGCCTGTGCAGGCTCTCTCCCCTCCAGCAGTCCGGCGTCCCTCGCTGTCCACTTCATGTCACCATGGCAGATGCACCAAGAGTCCCCTTGCCGAGCTGAAATCCCTGCAGTGGTGGCAGCGGCAGCGGCAGCCCCATGGCCTCAGCGGGGCGAGGGGGCGGCGGGCGGCCTCGGCGCGGCTTGCGGCGGGCGC